TCTTTTTTTTTTTTTTTTTCCTTTTTGTCTCTTTTTTTGTGACCGGCAACGGATCGCAACTCTCAGTGTCGCGCCCATACCGGACCGGGACCGGCAACGGGATTGCAACCCTCGGTGTTGCCCCCGCACCTCGCTCGGCCAGTGAGCAGCCGGTCTGTATGTGGGATCCGAACCCTCAGCGGGAGCGCCGCTGCGCTTCCCAAGCGGCGCACTGTAGCAGTGCGCCACCGGGCCGGCCCTAAATATTCATTTCTTACATGTGTTTTTCAGCGTTACCATGTGCAGGACCCTGTACCGCCCTTCACACTAGCTGATTGAGAGTTACTCTTCCTACCTCTTACCTCCCTATAATTGATGTTAGTTTACTGTTATTTTTACATGGTACAATCATGCCCTGCCCCTGAACAAAGAAAACTATAAAGCTAGAAAGTAAAAGAATAAAACAGAAGGGCTGGGAAGATGGGCTGTGGATGATGTTAGTCATACCTTGGCAGACAGATGGAAAGAAATCTCCCAAATAACCTTTGAAATAACCTACAGCACAGTGGGGCCCAGAGAGGGGTTGGCTATATGGCCCAGCCCGGAGACCAACTCTACAAGGGCAGAGTTGAAAAGTTATGACAGAATGGATAGCCTATAAAGCCTAAAATATTTACTGTCTGGCCATTTATAGAAAAGGTTTGCTCATGCCTGGTCTAGAGATAAAGATAAAAAATGAAAAGTTCTTTGATTCTGTTTTGCCAGTAATACTATAGCATATAGCCCGTATATCATCTAAGTGTTATTTCTCAAAGATTTGCCTACTGAGGCATACAAGCAATTATATAAGCCAATTTTCAGAGGTAAAAATTTAGTCACCACTAACTTTGAGATCTTGTTTCATTCCAGAAATTGACTGGTGAAAAATTAAACATGAAGTTTATAGTTTTGTTTTGTTTTGTTCTGCTTATCATTATTCAAACTGACTTTGGACAAAATGAAGAAATTCCTAGGAAGCAAAGAAGAAAGATGTATCGAAGAAGATTGAGGAAAAGTTCCTCACCCAACCACAGGTCAAATAGACAGCTTGGAATTCAGCAAATGACGACAGTTACACCAACAGCAAGATTTCCCATTGTTAACTTTGATTACAGCAGAGAAGAGAAGTTTGAATCCTTTTTAAGTTTTCTTGGAGTAGAATCAAGCTATAATGTGTTACCAGGTAAGAGAACAGTGAGAATGAGAGCGAGGAGGAGGGAGGAAAGAGAAAAGAGGGGAGTGGGGAGAGAGAACGAGAACCTCCATGAAGACAATTCTCCAGAGAAAAATCCCAGTTATTATACTACCTTTTGGTTTAATCTGCAAAGATAAATTTAAAAAAAAAACAATTTAAGGAATATACTTATAATACAAAATTATTGGAACAAAAATTACTTGTCCTTCCACTATACTTATAAAATCATAGCTACCGCTTTGGCTTATTTCTTTCCAGTATGTTTACTATGCATGTATTTTATTTTATTTTATTTTATTTTATTTTTTTAAAAGATGACCGGTAAGGGGATCTCAACCCTTGGCTTGGTGTTGTCAGCACCACGCTCAGCCAGTGAGCAAACCGGCCATCCCTATATAGGATCCGAACCCATGGCCTTGGTGTTATCAGCACCGCACTCTACCAAGTGAGCCACGGGCCGGCCCCTACTATGCATGTATTTTAAATAGTTGTAATCGTAATATAGATAAGTTACATATAAATTTATAAACTGCTTTTTCATTTATAACAATAGATCATCTAAAATATGGAAATAATTGTAAATTATGCAGATGATTATATAAGCACATGGCTACTAAATATTTTCAACCGAAATTTTTTTCAATGGAGTTAAAGTCACTGAATTTATTTTATATAAACTAAACTATTGATTTTTTAAAGGATGAAAAGACTGGAAATTCTGCTGAAGATTTCAATTAGGCATTTTTTTTTTCCTTTTTGTCTTTTTTACTGACCGGTAACGGGATCGCAACCCTCGGTGTAGTGCCCGTACCGGGGACCGGCAACGGGATTGCAACCCTCGGTGTTGCGCCCGCACCGCGCTCAGCCAGTGAGTGAGAACTGGTCCCCACATGGGATCCGAACCCTCGGTGGGAGCGCCGCCGTGCTCTCAAGCGGCGCACTCTCCAGTGCGCCACTGGGCCGGCCCCTCAATTAGGCATTTTTAAAAATTAGTTTTTTCTAAGTTTGAGAGAAAAAAAAATTATATTCTAGGTTTGTCATCATTAAAGAAAACTCTCAAAAGACAAAAGAAAATATTACCATATAATTTTCTGTGGCCAACACTTCATATGTTGTTTCAATGAAGCCAAATATTTCTAAATTATTATTTCCATGAAGTTAATATAAATAACATACAATGGTTATTTTAGGCAGTTTAGGCCACATTTACAACATGGGTGGGAAAAGAGAGGCAGAAAAATCAACTAAAAAGACACTGTAATAATAGTGTACCCATAACTGATAAAGAATGATGAGGTCAATTTTCCTTGGTTAAGTGGAAAGAAACCCAAGGTATAATAATGGAAAATTAAAAGCATAATGTGACCTCAACTCTGTTTAAAAAAATTTTAAATAATGTAATATAGGGTGGTGTGCATAAAAAAGTATAAAAGCTATATATACTAAACATTTCTGAATTGTCCAAAAATGTTTTCCAGTAGTCTAAAAGTGCTTTTTTTATTGTATTACCACAATAAAATTTATGATTTTTTTTTTTTTTTTTTAAAGATGACCGGTAAGGGGATCTTAACCCTTGACTTGGTGTTGTCAGCACCACGCTCAGCCAGCGAGCTAACCTGCCATCCCTATATGGGATCCAAACCCGGGGCCTTGGTGTTATCAGCACCGCACTCTCCTGGGTGAGCCACGGGCCGGCCCTAAAATTTATGATTTTAACCATTTTAAAGTATACAATTCAGTGGCATTTAGTACATTTCCAATACTGTGCAACTATCACCACTATCTAGTTTCTGAACATTCTCATCACCCCAAAAGAAAACCCTGTACATAAATCCCTCATTCCTCCCTCCTCCCAGTCTCTGACAACCACTAATCTGTCTTGTTTCTACAAATTTGCCTATTCCAGAAATTTCATATAAATAGATCGCATAATATATGTGGCCTTGTGTATCTGGGTTCTTTCATTTAGCATAATGTTTTGAAAGTTCATCCATGTTGTAGTATGTATTAGTACCATTTGATGTAAGATATGGGTTCAACTTCATTCTTCTGCATGTGGATATCCAATATTCCGAGCACCATTTGTTGAAAAGAATATTCTTTCCCCACTGAATGGTCTTGGCAGACTTCTTGAAAATCAGTTGGCCATTGATGTACGTCTGGACTTTCAATATTCCCATCAGTCTGTACGTCTATCCTTATAATAGTACCACACTGGCACAAACTGATTATTGTAGCTTTGTAGTAAATTTTTTGTAAAGCTTTTTGAAATCTGGAAGTGTGAGATGTCTACCTTTGATCTTTTTACTCAATATTATTTTGGCTACTAGGGATCACTTGGAATTCCATATGAATTTGAGAATCAGCTTTTATGTTTCTGCAAAAAAAGCCATTGTAATTTTGATAAGGTATAGTTCTTTTATAATTAAAAAAAAACAAAAACAAAAAAAACCCCCAAACCTCCAACTCATTATATATATTTTTTTGGAGGAGGAGCAACTGGGTGGATGGGACTAGTCTATTGCAAGTATCCAAATGAGAGATGGGTAGAGCCCAAACTGGGCTGAGACAGTAGTGAGTTAACTCAGATGGAGGCGTTATCAGGAATGACCCTAGGACAGGAAAGAAAACATCCTCTCCTTGGCTTTCTGTGGCCTGCTTGTTTGATACACTTACTAACATATCTGCAACCCTGTATGCAGAGATGAATATACTAAAAATCACTGCATTGTGTACCTTAAAAGGGTGAATATTATATTGCATGAATTATATTTCAACAATGTTATAACTCAAAAAAGAAATTGCTGCAATGTCTCACTGAAAAGCACAATGTTGGGTTTCAACTTTTTCTCTCTGCACATCAACAAGGGTGGGCATGGCTTCGTCATTCACTGGTGCTGCTCCAGCTCTCTGGACATGTGGTGGAATTGCACTGCCTTGCCCCTTCTGAAGTCCATACAATTTGCTTTGGCCAGAGCTCATCACTGCTGCAGTGATCAGAACAGCCTGCTTGTAGAAGCCTGTTGTCTGTCTCTGAGTGACTATAATGAGCCAGGCCTCTGTGGACACGCAGTTATAAAGGAGAAATAACTGAGATTTGGGACTTGTTTCTTGCTGTTGTATAAAAGCATATGCTTGCTGACAGATACAGGATGGGAGTGCAATTCACAAAGACAAGTCACCATGAGGAAGTCACTCTCAGAAGCCAGTGAAAAGCATTTCAGAGGGTTACGTCTATAAGACATTTTTGCCCTCTGCATGAGTGCAAATAGAACGCTGTTCTTATATGGTTATATCAGTTCAACTTCCATTCACAGTTGCTGGTAACCACGTAAGAAATTTACATGTGTATTACTGTTATCTTCTAGGAAAGAAAGGACACTGCTTGGTGAAGGGCATGATCATGTACAACAAGGCTGTATGGTCACCTGAGCCCTGCACTACCTGCCTCTGCTCAGATGGAAGAGTGATTTGTGATGAAACCATGTGTCACCCCCAGATGTGCCCCCAAACAGTTATACCTGAAGGAGAATGCTGCCCAGTCTGCTCTGATACTGGTATAGAGATTCAGCCAAAACAAAATATCATGTGTGATTTAGACTTTAATTTCCATTTGTTTTTATTTTGTAACTACTTTAAGTTTTAAATTATGATAAACTAGTCACCAGGGTACTTAAAACACTGGCACAATGCTGACAAATATAATAGAGATTGTGGCTTTATACTTCTAGTTCCATCAGATTTAGTAAACTTGGACCAGATGACATCCCATGTTTGACCCTCAGCTTTAGAGATACAGTGATAGCATTCCTACAACTAACAGATTCTCAGTTCTTATTATGAGGTAAGGGCTCCTCGTTGGTCTGCACTTGCATTATCTTACTTAACCCAACTCAAGAAGGGTACAGCTTCACCTCAAATGAAAACTCGGAAGGTACAGTGAACAAAGGAGAAATGATTTGCATCTGGAGAGAACAAAGCCCCAACCCTCCTGCCTCTCCCCAACCACTCAAAGGTAGCACAGGAGCCCATGTCATTGCTTGGGTATCCAGGGAAATATAGGAGTGTGACCTGGAATATCATTTTCTTCTTTGACACTTCTGTGAGCAGGAGGTCACAGCACAGGTTTTGCTGGTGGCTCACTGACCACTTCTCCAGTGAGGCTCACACCCGACTGAGTGGAGGACTCCTGGGAGGGAGGCCTGGGTTGCTTCCAAGAAAAGCCTAGCCAACGCCTTTATGACTTAAGTCCAGGATGTCATAAAGTAAACAAATAAATATTTGTTAAATAATTTTATGGGAAGGGATAGGGACATTTTCTCTTGTCTATAACCAAGGTAGACTGCTTCCATGCACACAGATCACAGGGTAAGTGTCTACAAAAGCCTCCTGCATGGAAGAACTTTAGAATATTTAGAAACTAGGCTGGCTGGTTAGTTTGCTTGGAAGAGCACAGTGCTGATAACACCAAGGTCAAGGGTTTGGATCCCCACACCAAAAGCAGCCTCCAAAAAAAAAAAAAAGAAGAAGAAGAATATTTAGAAACTGTATTTTGCTTTGTACTACCAATTGTTTCACTAAAAGTATTATGTTTTAAAAAAAATTAGAAAATAAAGGTATTAATGAAACTGATTCCTTGGAGAGAAATACAAGGTTTATAAAGCAAGATTCAGAAATTCTCAGACATTTTTCAAAGAACTTGGACTATTCTTGAAATGTTGTAGTTATTTTGGAAAAACAAACTTGGAAATACAAGAAGGATTTTAAATGTTTCAATATGATAGCTTTAGTTTTCCTCTACTAACTTTTTCCTATTCTCCTGCATGTTTTGCTAGAGATGAGAAAAAAATAACTCCCAGACTTTATAATATATACTGAATTGAAATCTCAAATAATTTCTTCAAATAAATATACTGAATTGAAATCTCAAATAATTTCTTCAAATAATTGTGTTTTCTGAGTTCTTTATGGGAGTGGTTTGTATATACTACTAAACAAAGGGAGATGATTAAATAAATTTATAAATTTTGATTGAAGAAACCTATGCACAGTGAACTCACTTCTCCCCAACTCTTCACTCAGAGGGTGAGTCTGAAGCTAGTCTCTTGTCATGTTTTCCCCTCTTTCTGCCAAAGACGTAACAGCTAAATATAATTCTACTCCCATCATCATGGAATGATAAAGAGATCTCCTGTGCATATGGCTAAGTTAAAGAATCATCACTTAAGTCCACGACATCATCTATCAGTCTCAGGCAGTAAAAATGATTTAAGTAGAGTCTGGGAGGGAAAAAGAATTCTATCAACAATTTTAAATTTCAGAGGATGCCATTAGGTCCATAGAGCTAAAAGAAAATCTAATAAAATAATAAGTATATAAACAAAAGCTAACTTCACTACCATGAGCAAGTAAAATATATACCTGTTTCACTTTTTTTTTTTTTTTTTTTTTAAAAGATGACCGGTAAGGGGATCTTAACCCTTGACTTGGTGTTGTCAGCACCACGCTCACCCAGTGAGCGAACCGACCATCCCTATATGGGATCCGAACCCATGGCCTTGGTGTTATCAGCACCGCACTCTCCCAAGTGAGTCACAGGCCGGCCCCTATACCTGTTTCACTTTTTTTTTGTGTCTGATGACAGCCTATAAATTCTTAGATTATCAATAGCCCCAAATAACAGAACAGTATCTATTATAAAGATATCACATCTGATTATATCACAATCTCACAATAGGACTGCTTACCATTTTGCATTGTGTGGCAATATTATTCCCTCTTTAGTCATCAAGTAGCATAATATTTTAGCAAGAAAAAGTATTGTTATTTAATACAAAAATTAATATTAAGTACCATAGGCAAAAAAAAGGTCTATATAGATCTCACAAAATAGAAACAAAGTTAGTATTATAACTTTTCAAGCAAAGACTTCAAGATGCATTTAACCTTTAAATTGCACTCAAATACTTAGAGGGAATAATATTTACTAACCCCATTTTCATCATGATTTTTCCTTTTATTAATATCATCAATTTGTCCCTGCTACCTGCTCTTTTCGTGGTCATTAGTCTCCTATCCTCTACTCAGTGGTATGGCATTAAATGATAGAACTGAATTTTCTGGTGATTCTTCAGAGCAAAGAGAACCTATCAAATTACTTCAAAAGCAACTGCCACCTCCTCAGGTGGAAATGGACCAAATATTACAAAAGGAAGCACTTCAATCTGAGGAGGATGAAGAAGAAATTAAAGAAGAGACAGAACAAAAGAAAGAGACCCCTGGACCTAGAGATTGGGGGAAACTTCACAATGAATGGGAGAGCAGAGGAGGAGAGAGAGAGCAGAGGCCTGGAGAGGAAGAGAGGTCAGCACAACAACCGCAACATCAAGGAAGGGAAGAGGAGGAGGAAGAAGGGGAGGAAAGAGAGGAGGAGGAGGAGGAGGACCCTGTGAGAGGAGATGTGTTCCGAATGCCCTCTCGATTACCAGTTCCTGCTCCCCCGAGAGGCAGGCCACGCCTGCCAAATGGGTGCTCTCTGTCCTACAGGACCATCAGCTGCATTGATGTCTTCCTCACCCAGATACCACCCCTGACCGCACCAGAGATAACAAGCCTGGAGCTCGTTGGTAAGAGATGTTGACTTCTGTTTTATTTTGTGCTTTAAAAGTAAATGACTCTCATTGCTCTATGAATGTTATATTTTAATTTCATAATAAAAAGTGACCCTGACTAGACTAATTTCATCATCTTCAAACATATAAACAAACATTGCAGAAGAGATAGAAATTTACTGCTCAAAAGCATAGTTAGGTATAAAGCAAACACCTTCAAATCAAATGACGATTTCCCATTGACTTTTTTATAAAGTCAGGTTTAGTGAGGTGTAATTTATATATAGTGAAATTTATTTTCAGTGTATAGTTCTATTAGTCCTGAAAAATGCATATAGTTGTGAAACCACCACCACCACAATCAAGATATAGAACATTTCCATCACTCCGCTCCCACCCCCACCCCACCCCCCGCCAAATTCCTCCTGTCTCTCCCTCCACCGGGCCCTGACCACCACAGAAAACTGATATTTTCTGTCCCTTCAGTTTTGTCTTTTCCAGAACATCTCTTAAGTGGAAACATACAGTATGAAGCCTTTTCCGTAAGGCTTGTAATACTTTTGAGAGCTAACTCTTGTCTCATGCATCAAAAGTCCACTCTTCCTTTTCGCCAAGTAGTGGATGGACCCCAATTACCAGCTGAAGGACATCTCAATTGTTTCCACTTTGGGGCAATTATGTATTTGCTATAAGCATCCACATGCAGATGTTTGTGTGGACCTAAGTCTTCATTTCTTTAGGGTAATGCCCAGGAGTGGGACTGCTAGGTAATGTGGTATAAATGCATGTTTAATTTTGTAAGAAATTGCCCAACAGTTTTCTAAGGTGGCTGCACAATTCCCACCAGCAACATTAAGAAATTCTTGCTGCTCCACATCCTGCCAACAGTTGGTACTGTCAGTTGTTTTTTCCCCTCATTTTAGCCATTCTAGTGGGAATGTGGTGGTCTAGACCTGTTGCCCATGTTTCCATAGGGCCACCTGGGAGGCTTCTGAGTGGAGGCATAGCAGCACCAGGTATGAGAGGCTGGCTAGCAGGGACACACCTGGGCTCTGGGAGCAGTAGGGGCACTTGTCTGGGTGATGAGCCCATACCGGGGGTAACCCTGAAGATGCAGGGGTAAGGGGATCTGAATGGGTCCGACATATTTGTGCAATGATAGCTGTCTGAGACAGGACACTGCCAGTGTCAAGTGTACAAGAAGCTTCCATGGCTTCCCTGACACAGGATTTCATCCTACTTTCAAATGATCATAAGGCATTCCTCTCATGCCCAGCAAGACCTCCTCCTCCTGCAGCCTCTGTGCCAGGTACACTCTTCCCTTAGAAAAACCAATTTGTAAAAGTCTAAAGTCTTGGGAAGGATGAATGATCCATGCTGGGCTACGCTATCGTGGTTTTACAAGAGGGTGCCTTTTATAGTATGTATTACTTCTGCTAAGCTTGCTTTCTGGGCTTAAAATGTCAAAACAAAAATCCATAAAATTAAAGCATGCACAAACCTTTGTAGATTGAAATCACAGAGGTATAACATTAGATCTGGGAGTTATGAAAGATCTTCCCAAGCTTTTTGTACAGAGAAGGAAACATGCTCAGAGGATGTAAGTGATTTGCCTGAGATTTCATGGATGAAAATAGCATCATGATTCCAATCCAGGGAAATGGCAATGGAAAAATATGAAGAATAAAAATCAGTTTCTGTACACCTTCCAGAAACACACCTCTGTTGTAAATGCATAATGCTACTAGTGCTGTGCAGAAGACAACATTCTGGCTGTTGTAAATGGCCTCATCTAACATGTGATGTACTACAGAGAGATAGATCCTTAGAAAGAAAATTTCAACTATGTTAAACTGTCTAGTCCCAGTCTTGTTATTTTCCTGAAGACGCATTTGCTATATAATATATATTCTATCTTTGTTCTGAGTACTGCTTTCTCCTCCAGATAAAGCTCTCTGTTGATATTTATGTAAATACAGGCATGCACACACATCTGTACATGTGTGTATATGTATGTATAGGCACATGCAACTAACGCACAACTGCTGCACATCCTAGGCAACTCCATCATATCCATCCCGGATGAAGCATTTAATGGACTACCGAATTTGGAAAGGCTTGATCTGAGCAAAAATAATATCACCTCTCCAGGCATAGGTCCAAAAGCATTCAAGGTAAGTACACACTCCAAGTTGTGCATCATAACCCATATTTTGCACGGTTTCACTAAGACTTGCACTGGCAGTGATTGGATGTGGGGGAGGCAGGAGAAGCAAAATGTTTTTAACTGGTAGTGTTCTTCTAAGTTAAGAAAGTTTCTTCTCTGATGTCCCTAAGCTGCATTCAAGTTTTCTCTTGACTACTGTTTGTTGTTTTACATATTTTTATTACTGACAAAACTAATGTTTTAAATTCATGCAGTAGCTTCTCCCCAACTAGCTGAAAACATGTTGAAATCTGGTCTCTCAGCACATAAAGTATTTTCTGGGAATATAGTAGAGCTTATCTGGAACCTCTTTTAACATTTTCAAGCCAGCAAGACATTGCTCTTTTATTTTTGTGCAATGGGCAAATCTGAAGGAGGGTACTTTGGCAGAAGGGGGTTCTGGAAAAACAAATGGGCTCAGATGAAAATTAGCATGGGATAGGCTGGGACAGAAGAGGGAAAGAAAGAGCAAACAGTTCAGAAAAAACCCTTAAGATACAGATTTTAGAAAGTTTTTTTAAAAAGGAAAAAAGTCCTGATACCAAAAAAATAAAAAATAAAAAAAGGAGAAAATAGAGGATCAAGGAATTTCAGAGAAAGGAAGACAGAAGCCAGAGAGAAGGGGTTTGTGTGTGTAAACAAAGACTCATAAATGTGCATGCTTTAAAAGCCGTCAGTAAAACACACTACATCTAACCAGGCTTATTATTCGCCGGGACAGTCTTCTGAGTCTTCTGCCCACTCTCCGGACACATCACTGGACTCTTGTGTTCTCCGTTCCTGGGTCTCGTCCAGAGTCTAGGCTGGCAGATAGGAGGGCTCTGCATTCATTTCACAGAACTGAGTGCCTGCTTCACACTATCCCATCCTTCTGATAGAAAAGTGCCTGGTATCAGGGAGTCTATTTCCAATATTTGATCAAGAGAAAAACTTAGCAGGGGATCACCTCCTTTTCTTGATTTGGGATTCTCTGTCCCATTTCAAAACTGTTGAAACTGAGTATGATCACAGGAGAAGTGACTCATTTCATATGTCTTCACTAAAACCCACCCGACCTCAGTTTCCTATTTCTGGTGGTGCAAGCTAGGTTTGGCCAAAAAGCATGCAAATACAAACATGAAAATGTACTTTTCCAGACAGTCAACTGTGTGCAGAAATAGCGTGTGGTATTTGTAGCATTTTGTTTTGAAAGATTTCCACAGTACACAGTGCTATTTTATGACCTTCTTTCTAGTGTAGACATTAGTGTAGATAGGAAACTGAGGTTTACAAATGATAAAAGGATTAAAATCATTGTCCTGTTAGCTTCCATAACAGATTCAGATTACTGCATGGTTTAATAAAATTTCTGCCTATTGCTCTGAAGGTGAAATCCTATGGTCTTGCAAAACATGACGATCCAGTAGCTATAGTAGCTTTCTCTCACTTTCTAAAGCTGCAATAAAACGACTGAGTTAATATTAAGTGGGATACAAAATCACCAACTATAGTATGCTGAAAATGCATGAGAATCAATGCTATTACCAGGATCAATATCTCTCTGGCAGGGTGAATATGGGGACTGCCATGTGGCCTAGACATTACTGTCTAAGACTAAGAAAGTGTAGGTTTGTGAGACTTTTAGTGACCACTTTAAACTGACCATTATATGAAATGTTACTGTAGAGTTGTGACCAGATAAAAAAGCAATTTTGAGATTTGCCTTTTCAGCTTCTGAAGAAGTTAATGCGTCTGAATATGGATGAAAATAATTTGGTACAGATTCCTTCAGAATTACCATCTACATTAGAAGAACTTAAAATCAATGAGAACAATCTTCTGGGTATCGATGAAGAAAGCTTATCAGGTATTTAACATTTATTTATTTTTTTTATGATATGTGTCCTTATAATGCTTCTATAGTCGAGTGAAAATTTTTAGTGGTCACTTTACTACTTAAGTTGAAAAAAAACTTGTTTTAACAATTGGCTGGTAATACTTAAAATGTATTTTTAACTGCCTATAGTCTCCAAAAAGTACCGTAACCATAAACAAAACTTCTACTCGATGATTCCAGATTCTCATCGTTCACAGTACCCTACTGCTAATCCAAACACCTGGAGGGCTACACTAACTATCCCCCACACTGCCATGTGTCTTGGTGGCCTGTATCAATATTTTTGTTGGTTCTTAGTGGTGACTAACACAGTACTGTGGTTTGTTAACGGGATCTCCTTTATTGCTCTCATTGTCAGTACACCCACCCACAATTCTTTGCCTCCACACATTTTACTGTTTTAATTTGTCATATGTTAGACCCTAAAACCGAGCATGTAAGAATTATGCATAAAATATGAATAAATGGGTACTGTATTGAGGCTGAGATGCTATCCTACAGTGAAAGCCCGCGAACTTCATGCTGGCAATCTTGGCAGTTTTGTTCCTGAGAGGGCTTAGGATGGAACTTCTGGTACTACATGTCACACCCCATGGTGTGTGGAGTGTGGCCGCCACTGTGGCCTGGCTTTCTGATGGATGGACATCACAGAGGGTCACCTGCGTTCCATGCATTTGACATTGCTGGAACTAGCTCTGCTGAAGCTTGTTGCCTACCAGACCCTGCTAGACTGCTCAAGTTGTCATTCTGTGGCTCTGCACAGAAGAGGCTTTATCATATTTCACTTTTCACGAATTCTAACAAATGCCTTTGATTACACTGTGTGCTTCTTTAAGACAAAGACTGCTTAACTTTTCTTTTTATCTTCCTTATAATCTAGCATAGCTCTTGAGATACAGTGCTTAACACTTTTACTTGATTTGAAACACATTTATTATGTACATGTTGATAAACCAAGCCTTTAAATGAATTAAACAATCTGATTATTTCCTATAGCTTCCAAAACACTTCATAGGAACAAGACACTTCTGGTGATGAGAAAAGAATAATAATAATGAGAATTGCCAAATCTGAGGATTACATTGTTATGGAAATACTCAATTTCCAGATGGATTTCAGGGCACACAGAAAAACAATAAACACAAATTTTGATGGGCTCTGCCAAATGGAAAAGACATTAGAAAATTCAGCTTCTAACTGCTGGGTTAAACAGAGACCAAAGGGAACACTTAATTTAGAACAAGTGTACTAACAGGCTGTATATGAACTATAAGCAAGTCACATTTCTAGCTGTGTTGTCAAAGTGACATGTTATACGACATAAACTCCTGATTTTGAACGTGCTCTCACACATCCATGGACCTGCTTCTTAGCATGCACTTCTCCCTCCTGCACAAATGCTTCTATAATTCCAGAGTACCAACATATGAGTCAAGGCGAACTAGCTGCCTGTCCTCCTATCCCCACAGTCCGAGCCCTGACGAGTCCTCGGTCCTACCCAGGTAGCCAAAGTGGAGGCTCTCTGCTGTCCTCTTGCACTCTCTGAGTGGGCTGGGATCGTAGTGCTACCATGGTGCTGGCCTCGCTGGTGCTGGGTTCTTGGTCCTGCTGTGACACTGGCCCCTCTGTTGCTGGGTTCTTGGTCCTGCTGTGACACTGGCCCCTCTGTTGCTGGGTTCTTGGTCCTGCTGTGACACTGGCCCCTCTGTTGCTGGGTTCTTGGTCCTGCTGTGACACTGGCCCCTCTGTTGCTGGGTTCTTGGTCCTGCTGTGACACTGGCCCCTCTGTTGCTGGGTTCTTGGTCCTGCTGTGACACTGGCCCCTCTGTTGCTGGGTTCTTGGTCCTGCTGTGACACTGGCCCCTCTGTTGCTGGGTTCTTGGTCCTGCTGTGACACTGGCCCCTCTGTTGCTGGGTTCTTGGTCCTGCTGTGACACTGGCCCCTCTGTTGCTGGGTTCTTGGTCCTGCTGTGACACTGGCCCCTCTGTTGCTGGGTTCTTGGTCCTGCTGTGACACTGGCCCCTCTGTTGCTGGGTTCTTGGTCCTGCTGTGACACTGGCCCCTCTGTTGCTGGGTTCTTGGTCCTGCTGTGACACTGGCCCCTCTGTTGCTGGGTTCTTGGTCCTGCTGTGACACTGGCCCCTCTGTTGCTGGGTTCTTGGTCCTGCTGTGACACTGGCCCCTCTGTTGCTGGGTTCTTGGTCCTGCTGTGACACTGGCCCCTCTGTTGCTGGGTTCTTGGTCCTGCTGTGACACTGGCCCCTCTGTTGCTGGGTTCTTGGTCCTGCTGTGACACTGGCCCCTCTGTTGCTGGGTTCTTGGTCCTGCTGTGACACTGGCCCCTCTGTTGCTGGGTTCTTGGTCCTGCTGTGACACTGGCCCCTCTGTTGCTGGGTTCTTGGTCCTGCTGTGACACTGGCCCCTCTGTTGCTGGGTTCTTGGTCCTGCTGTGGCACTGGCCCCTCTAGTCCTGGGTTCTTGGTCCTGCTGTGACACTGGCCCCTCTAGTCCTGGGTTCTTGGTCCTGCTGTGGCACAGGCTCCTCAGAAGCTGGGTTCTCCCTTGACTGGGGCAGCTGATGGCCCCCACTGGCTCCTGTGGGTCCTGCTGCTGCTGTGGATGGGCAGGCTGATGGGCAGTGAGCCGGTGAGCCTGTGCACAGCCCACCCAGTGTCGTAACACAGCCCTCCCTCTGTGTAGAAACCCCCAACTTGACCATCCGTAGCCCACTGTTCTCCTGTTGTTTGTCTCATGGGAGCTCCTCACACATGACCATTCAGATTATAGTTCCAGAAAATTAGGAGGAGGGCCCTCCAGGGAGGGAGAACAGCATGTAAAAGGTTTGGAGAAATGAGAGGATTGTGGATGTTGTGGGAACTGCAGGCAGGTGTGGGCTGGGAGGAATGTGTGATGAGGGTGAGAGCAGGTGACGAGTGGCATGAGGGGCAGGGACAAGACCCGGAAGAGGTACAGAGTACACGGGGATGTTGAGGGGAAAGGTATTAAAGGTAGGTGGAGGGAGAGCAGGGAAAAACTGGATATACTTCAAAAGAGGGGCACTGCCATCATCACTAATGATGAAAGCAACCAAACCATGATCATTATGACACTCCAACGGTGACCTTAAACTGATGCACACCAGGACCACCAACATGGCACCTGCCCACCAAGGAGGGACTCCCTTCCTCTCCCTATTTCCTGTCATGAATCCTTCTTTCAACATCTACCTCAAGTCTAGCCTATAAGAAACTTTATCTAATTCCGCCCTACCTCCTGTTACCTTGTGTTTCCACCCACACCAGAGAATTACAGTGTCCTGAATTTGCACTGTTTTTTTCTCTCAGGAAGGCCTGTCATGGCCATTAGTCCACATCTATTATCTATTTTTCAACAGAAAACTTCTACATTTCAAAACCTCACTAATGTACTAGAGAAGTATTCCAGGTTCTCAGTACTGTTAGTTTGGGAAATTAAAGACAACATAAGGAAATACAACACTTATCACAGTTGACTGGCTGGTCTCCCTACTTCCTATCACTCAGACCTCCCATTGAGCCTCAAAACCACCACCAGATTAATCTTCAATGAAGCATGTGGCTTCCATCCTGCCATCCTGTCCTGATCCTCACTGCCTAAAGGATGACATCCATCTGGCATGAAGGCCTTCCCCTCACACCAGCCTACGATCCACTGCGCACGGCACACTCCAGGGCTGGTCTCTTCACTCCAGGCATACTCACGAGGGTCCTTCACCGGCTGCTTCAGCTTGGAAGTTCCTCCCATTTTTATCTAAATCTTTTTACCCTTAAGAGCCTAGTACTTCCACACCACTCAAATCTACATTTCTCTCTCTTCTTTTAATCTTCCGGCATTTATTATTTCTACTCTTGATGTGATTGGCCTTGCTAGTGCCTAACAGTAGGACTGAGTCGTGAACAGTTGAACAGGAAAACACCCCTCTTCTGGGAATCTCGGCCATGCCCTGACCTCTGACTCAGGCCGCTGGGCATCACTACTGCTGAGCCCTCTGTTCCCCAGCACTGAGCTTCCATTTGACCTGTATCATACCACTCCTGAGGCCAGGAGAAACAATGTGGAAAAAACCTGTTTGTATAAAGGCCTATCTTGGTAGCTCAATCTGAATGCATGGAGAATACCTGATCATCTTTTTTTTTTTAAAAGATAACCAGTAAGGGGATCTTTACTCTTGACTTGGTGTTGTCAGCACCACGCTCACCCAGTGAGCTAACCAGCCATCCCTATATGGGATCCGAACCCGTAGCCTTGGTGTTATCAGCACCACACTTTCCCGAGTGAGCCACGGGCCGGCCCCCTGATCATCTTTCTTTCAAAGCTTCCATTTGGCTGCACTCCGTGCCAGTAAGTGAATAACTATGATGGGAATTCACTGCTCTGCTTTATTTCTAACTCCCTTCTTCAGAGATTGAGGGTTTGCTAGGGAAAGAGTGTTCTTTTCTGTGTCTTGGAAAAAGAAATCACTCATTGCATTAAACTCCCACCAATCCATTACCTATCACGCTACCACTTCATATCTAACATGTCTTTGCAAATGATTGTGAGGACTTCTCACTACCTTATATTTCTTGCCCACCCGAATTCCAAATCCCTGCTCATCACCATTGCCTCTGTGGGTACTTCCCTAAGTCTTCCTGTCTTCCTCCTCCTCTCTCTTGCTTCTGTTCCTTATATTTCTACCCTATAGCATTTCAATGATTTCTTTACAGGCCTGCCTCTCTAGTGGACCATGCATTTTATTCCTGATTGATTTGAGCATCTAGGATTTTAAAGTACTTGGGAAAATGCTCTACAGGGGGATACAAGATAAAGAAACTACAACATCTGCCCTGCAAATAAACTGAACATTTCACATGACCTTTTGAAAGTCTATAGAAATTGCAAGGTTTTCAATTATCCTAATATTCTGATAATTTTATTTTTTATAGGCTTAAATCACTTGGTCACCTTAGAGCTGGAAGGAAACAATCTCAGTGAAGCCAACATCAATCCTTCAGCTTTCAAACCTTTAAAGAGCCTATCCTACCTGCGTCTGGGAAAAAATAAATTTAGAATTATACCACAGGGTCTTCCTGCTTCTGTTGAGGTACCAATATCTTTCTTCTAATGTTTTAAATGTATTATATTTTAAGTACAGTAAACTACAACAAAACAAACAATATATTTTTAAAAACTATTGTAATGTATGTTAAACTCAGTAGAGTTTTGGTGCTATATACAGAATTTACTATAACCTGAGCATTGTTTCTCTTTCAAACAATATAAAATTATGAATCAAAATTATAACTACAAGTAGATATCCCTGATAAAGTGAAATGTGGCATGGGGAAGAGGAACTGAAAATTCAAACAGAAACCACAACTTTCAAAAGTTACCCTGACTCAAGACAATTTAAAGTGTTCCAAGTGAGAACCATGAAGGTCATCACAGACTGGGCTCAGACTGTTAATAACCAGCCTGTTCACACTCACGAATTCTAGGTAAAACCACAGATACTCTGACCAAACCATAACTGCGCAGACACGAGTGTTGTACAGAGAAGACCTCCAACTATTCCAGCAACTCTATAGCTTACAAATTTTGACCATTTTCTACTGAGACTGTCTTGTGACTAACTCCAGGCCCAAAGGCTCATCTTTGTTTGATTCCCTCTAGAGATGTCCACGTATCCCCAGATGTCTGGTCTCCTTGCTGCAGGGTGTGCTTCTAGTGGTCTTTGGCTGATGAGTATCAATACCCCTCATTTCCTGCATTAAGAACACTAATGTCCAGAGAGTCTCTATATACACTGGCAGGCCCAGCTGGAACCCTGAGCTAGAAGCTCTGTTTCTCCCACATCACATGATCATCCAGCCAGAAGTCAGGACAGAGCTTCCCACAGCTGTGGCCCCAGCAAGCCAGAAGAGAGAGACATCTATTGTGATCTTTTGCTGCTACAACTACCACCCTTCCTCTCCTTCCTATTTCCAGATTAAGAGGCACAGTTACATAACACTGGAATTTACCAATACCTGGCTTTACATCACAATCATCTGGGTTCTCAAGAAACAAAGACTCTTGGACCTATCCCAGACACACTAAGTCAGATTCTTTGGAGGGCAGTGCCAGAAATTTATAATTTTTTAAAAAATCAAAATTTTAAATAGATAATGCATGCACACAGCAGAACACACACACACACACACACAAAACTTGGCTAATACAAAACAGCAATGTGCCCATGCCTGAACCTCACATACTGTCTTCTCTCTGTCCAAAGGGATCATCTCCTGCCAGTGTGAGAAGCACTGGGCAGCCACATGTACAAGTGCATGGCATGTGCTATGAATCCTTCTTATATCCCTGCTGCACATCTGCCTCACTGAGCTACACATCCCAAAGACCATCTCACTACATTCTTTCCTACAGCAGCAGAGTTTTCAACATATGAATGGGTAGGACAGGATTTATTTAACTAATCTCTTACTGGGGTACATTTAGGTTGGAATTTGTACTTTAAAAAGCTCATGAGATGATTCTAATGTACAGCCAAGTTTGGGAACCACGGATCTAGCTCACCCTAAATGTGGTGAAGGTAAAAGCAAAAATTTGAAAACTGCTCTACCTATTTCTAACAAATATCAAGACTGAGTGGCAAAGAGGGGGAAATTACCACGACAGGAACGGAAAATTACATTGAAGATATGTGCCAATTCTACTTTTGAATTGCAACAAGAGAACAATAAAAATTTTATAATTCAGGTACTTTAATGAAAAATTCCCTCTAATGCTAACTAAATTGTTTTTTTTTTTTTTTGACCGGTACGGGGATCGCAACCCTTGGCTTGGTGTCGTCCGCAACACGCTCAGCCAGTGAGCGCACCAGCCATCCCTATATAGGATCCGAACCCGTGGCGTCGGCGCTACCAGCACCGCACCCTCCCGAGTGAGCCACGGGGCCGGCCCTAATGCTAACTAAATTTAACTTAAAGGCAGCTAACTATTAAAAATTACCAATAGTTCTATCTAGCAAACTTCACCCTGATCTTAAACTAAGGCTTTTAATTAACTTAAATAATTAACTTTTAATTAAATTACAATACAAGCAAGTCTAAAAAACATGAGCCTAAAAAAATGACAGACCACATGGTGTAGCAGGGAGAAAGCTGCCCTGCTAGAGGCTTGGCCAGGATGAGCCCCTCTCACTCACTAGCCATGTAACCTCAGGCGAGCCTTGCTGCCTCTCCTGGCCTCGGTTTCCCCATTGGTAAGTGAAGATAATAATTTCTACCACTTCCCAGAGTTCTAAAGCCCAAATGAGATCACTTATGTGAATACGTTTTGTAAATTTGAAAGCTTTATACAATTGTCATGGTAGGCTGTATCTTACAACATATTATAGCTAAATAAAAGTAAATAAAATTCACTTAATTCCATGACCATGACATAGTACATTTTACTAGTTAAAAAATTTGACAACTTCAAACTATGAACTCACTTGAAAGAGCAATAAAATGCTCTTTAGATAATACTAATGAGAATAGTCTACATTACCATTCTAGACTTCTGTGAAATTGAACTTGTCAACTAACTCAAATGGAAGAAAACTAATAGTCTTTTCTCTTGATTATAGGAATTATACCTAGAAAATAACCAAATTGAAGAAATAACTGAAATTTGTTTCAATCATACCAGAAAGATCAATGTCATTGTACTACGTTATAATAAAATAGAAGAAAATAGGATTGCTCCTTTAGCCTGGATAAATCAAGAGTAAGTATATGCTACAATTTAACTTTATTAGACTATTTCTTCCTTTTGCTATTATTAATGACTATGAAAATTGGGAATGGAACAAGTGAGGGAGGTGATAGCATGGGAGGGCTCAGAGACAGCATCCTTTCTTAGTGAACCCTCTGCCACCCCCAACCACAGCTACTTCAGGGCGTTTCCAAGCTGTTCGTTACATGACCGGTGTTAGGATTACTAAGGGTATTACGGCTGCTGCCATCACTACTGCCTAGTGGATATCCTACCATGTGCAACGTGCTGAGCTAGCAAGAACTGAGCCCTAGCCAACCGACCCCGAGGTCTGACCACAGTGGTCAAATGCCACTGTAGCTCTGATGGACAATCTGGATCCAGATCTGGGGTTGTGTATCCTGAGAACACAGTGCCTGAGCAGCACAGCTGAGACATGTGTTCTTCAGAAGTAGGGTGGAAGGAGATGAAAAGAGACCTTTAGCACCAATTGGGTTCAGCTGCCAGGGGGACTGGAAGGGTGACTGAGTCCCCTGAGGGCAGAGGAGAGCTCATCAAGTGAAAAGGGGGGTCAGGGCCTGTTAACAACATTTTCTAGATCCCTCAAGCTTACCCCAGGTACCAGGTGGGGCCAGGTCATCAAATCAAATGTGGGACAAAAATTTGGGGGGTTGGAAGGGGGGAAGAAACCAATACAAGCAACAACAACAAAAAAAACCCCTAAAAATTCCCTTACTGGAACCAGAGACAACTTTGGGGACAGGAGGTTTGACGTAGGCTAGGACTCCTGGATTTTACCTCTCATTCAGCAGTTCAACCTTACAGACATTTTGGGATGTCTTTGGGTCTCACCATCACCACCAGGGATAAACAGCTAGGAGGCAGTATGGTGCACTGGTGAAGTCATGAGCTTTAGGGTCAGCCAGACCCAGGACAGTTATACAGAACTGCACTGCAAACAGGGTGCCTGCAGGAAAACACACTAGCATCAAAGTCGGCTTTGTCAAAATCTAGAGCTGACGGTCACTACCCTGCTAACTTTCTTCCTTGCTGCAGAAATCTAGAATCCATTGATCTGTCCTACAACAAGCTCTATCATGTCCCCTCCTACCTACCCAAGTCCTTGTTGCACCTTGTGCTCATGGGGAACCAGATTGAACGGATACCTGGCTATGTGTTTGGCCATATGGAGCCAGGCCTGGAATACTTGTACCTGTCATTTAACAAACTCACTGATGACGGCATGGACCATGTCTCATTCTATGGGGCCTATCATTCTCTGAGAGAATTATTTCTGGATCACAATGACTTAAAATCTATACCACCTGGGATACAAGAAATGAAAGCACTACATTTTCTGAGGCTGAATAACAACAAGATAAGGTAAATTTTGACTTTTTCAACTATCAATTTTAAATGTGGTTGACAAAATATATGATTAAATAACCATGACATGATCTCTGGGCTTTACTTTGAGGGAAAAAAATGCTAAGGGGGTAGACTAAATAAGAGTGGCAGATATTAATAATTATTGAACCTGGGCAATAGGTACATGAAGACTCATTATTTTTTTTTTCGGCAGCTGGACAATATAGGGATCAAACCCTGGACTTTGGTGTCATTTAGCACTATGCTCTAACCGACTGAGCTAACTGGCCAGCAGTAAAAATTTTTAAATGGAGTATTAATACGTGATATTTAGATTTTTTTTTTTCGGCAGCTGGACAATATAGGGATCAAACCCTGGACTTTGGTGTCATTTAGCACTATGCTTTAACAGACTGAGCTAACTGGCCAGCAGTAAAAATTTTTAAATGGAGTATTAATACGTGATATTTAGAACCTCAGAGACAGGTTCAAATAAGGCTTAGAAGTAATAGGAAGATTATGCTACTACTCCCACCTCCATATATAACTTTTAAAAAGTTTTAATCTGGGGCTGGCCCCCTGGCTCACTCGGGAGAGTGCGGCGCTCGTAGCGCCGAGGCTGTGTGTTTGGATCCTATATAGAAGTGGGATTGCTAGGTAAAAAGGGTAAAAATGCATATGTAATTTTGCTAGATATTACTAAATTCCTATCCATACGAGTTGCACCATTTTGCTTTCCCTTCAATGATGTCTGATCCTCCCAGTTTCATCATCAGTGTATGGTAACAGGCTTTTGATTTTTTTTTTCTTCTTTTCTGGCAAACCTGATAAATGATAAGTGAGAAGTGGTGTGCCAGTAAAGTTTCAATTTACATTTTTTCTTATTATAAATGAAACTGAACATATTTTCATGTTGACACATCGTTTTCATTTATTCTTCAGTGAACTGGTTACCCAAGTATTTTTATCTTTTTTTTGCTCTTTTCCATTTTCCTCCTAGATTTTTAGGAGGCCTTTTATCTGTGATATAAGTTGCAGATACTTTCTCCTAGTTTGTCACTTGCCTTTTAACTTTGCATTTTTAAAAATCTATAGTCAAGTTATAAATTTTTTCTTTCAGTGCTTCTGGTTTTCAAATCATAAATAGGAAGATTTTCCCCACTCACAGGGTGTGACCATGCTTAGTTCTAATGCTTTTATGGCTTCGTTTTTTCACATTTAGATCTTTGACATATTTGGAATTTATTCTGGTGTACACTACTAGAAAAAGATCCACTTTATTTTAAAAACAACTTTTTTTTTTTTTTTAACAAATGTAAAACTTAACTCCTAAGTTGTGGTTACTTGGACCACTTGTGACTTTTGTGTTCATTTTTCCTTAGGAATATTCTTCCAGAACAAATTTGCAATGCTGAAGAGGATGGTGACTCAACTCTGGAACATCTTCATCTTGAAAACAATTACATTAAAACTAGAGAAATATCATCCTATGCATTTTCATGCATAAGATCATATTCAAGTGTGGTTCTTAAACCCCAAAGCATCAAATAATACCAAGTTTTTCTTTGCCATTTATAAGGTTTACTCATATATTCATAGCAGTAGCATTTGTCATTAATAAAAGAGACATAATCCTCACATCATAATCCGTATCATTATGCTTGTCAACCTGATTCACCAATCCACTGATAAAAAACTAAAAACATACCTATAAGGTATAGTCTTCTAGGAATTTTAGTAAAGGAAAAAAACACCAGACTAGAAAGAAGCTATCTCACTAGAATAGGATATTATGCATGCTGAGCTAGACCAAAATACCTAGAACAAAATAAATACACCCTTTACAATCGACCTGCATACTGCTAATTGCTGACTCCTTAAGTCTATTTAAAAATTATTGATGTTATGATTCAAGACCAAGAAGCATACTGGCAACAACAACCAAAAACCAGGTAGAAATGTTCTTCATTACTCTATTAAAACAGTAATTTATTAGTTTTCTGTAAGATCCTGTGTTATAATTACTGGTATAAATATACTTAAGTATTGGGTTAGCTTTTGTTCCCTCTATTAATTACATGTGTAAAATTAAAACACTATTATAATTTTAATTTTCTGATTTTGATAATTATATTATGGTTATGAACATTGTTAACATTAACAGAAGCAGGCAAAAGGGTATATTATATACCATTTTCGGTAAATCTAAAATTATTTTTTTAAGTTAAAAATAGTATTTTAAGATCATCTTCACTATTCTTTACTCAAAATCAAGATTTTATAGAAAGCAGTACTGTTTGCTTAAAATACAAATTAATTACTCTTGACTCTAACCTTGTAAATGTAAACCTAATGCATGAATTTTTGAAAATTTTTGCTCCATTGGTAACAGTTAGCACCTATCTCCTTTGCCCTAATTTGCTGAAATGTATCCTTTCATTTAGTTCAATTGAACATAAAGCTATTAGTGTTTACTATGTACCAGGCCCTACTAAAACAATATATTAAAATTTTCATAACATAATGATCTTTCATCTTTGTATTATGAAAATAATTTATAAGACACATATGGAAATTGTTGACTTCTTGTGTTACCTTCAGTTTTGTGCCCTGAATAAACACCAGATTAGGAACTCAAGTTCCACTCTTGGCCCCCATGGGCAGGTTACTCTAATTTTTCAAGCTTTAATTATTTAATCTTTTAATAATTCTCCTACCATTCTAGGAACCTTCCAGCCCCACTTCACAGGGCTGTTATGAGAACCAGGGAAGAACGTAAAGTGTCTTGGAAAGTAGAGTCCACAAGAAGTGTAGTTATTATTACCAACCTCACATAAAATGGAGATGAATCGGCATATACAACCATAAAGGACAATTTCATGGGTGACTTTCAAGGTGTGAAAGTTTGACTTACTCTATTTGAGCTAATGTTATTTCTAAGACCTTGTTGCTAAGTCCCCTTTCTTAATATCCAGGATTCTGATATTACGACATGAACAGGAATAAGAATCAAGGGCTTAGAGCAGGTGGTTAAGAACAGAAATGGAATCTTATGAAATAAAAAGTTGAGATTCATAATCAGGTTAGGAATGTAGGAGCATTACTAATTTAAATTGGCCAAGTTGAATTTAAGTGACAGGTATAAACAAGAAGGTTACACATCCATTTAAGAAGAACCCTTGTGGATACTTCTTGATGTGTAGATATAAATCCATTGACATAAATAGTTCAAGGCAATCCAGGTTGTAAACAAAATCAGTGTCAAAGGCGACTCAAGGTGAGTCAACAGAATTAGCATTATTGAGACGACACACAGATGAACATTGAACCATTCCTTCATTAATTTCTTATTCTGACTTTAATCAGCTGCGTTTCAGATGCTATTCTAGCAAGAGACAGTGACAAACAGATCAGACAAGGCCTCTCCTCTCTGGTAGGGGCAGTTAGCAAGAAATCAAGCAGACAATCAAGTAAGCAGGCAAGTGCTGTGCAGTCAGGAAGACAGGTGGTGATGCGATAAGCATGTTGGGCCTGGGGAGGATGCAGCCACCCCCACCATCCTGGAGTAACAGCAGACCCAGGCCCATATATGTGTGACAGGGGCACTGTGAGGCTGCTGTGCACATCTCTTCCCAACTCTGCATCAGCAGCAGAATCCCAAACAAAGCTGGAAATGAGAATGACTGATTTTAAGCTTTACTCTTTTAAGTTGGAAGATGGATTTTGAATTTATAATTTTAAAAATATGTCTAGTATGAAACATGTTCAGCATTAAAATTTTATCATTTTCAGAATCGGAAGTTTTAATTTCATTAGAAAAGTAATAAAAGTCCTTATAGCAAACATTTTTCATGATATAATGTTATAACAAGCAGATGCTCTGTTTGGCTTCATAAATATGCTATAATTACTAACATATATGTACACTAAGGAAGTCCTGGCTTAGCCATGATCTGAAGATATTAATGGTGTGTTTCGTCTTTGCATGTGTACAAGGAGTGCTAACTACATTTTTAATTATGAGGCTTGGCTTATCGTAGATAAGAGTATTTTTAAACTCTTAATTTTTAAAGAGTATTTTAAAGATATGATATAGTGAAAGACGCATGAGTGTACTTCAGAAAGTTCATGGAAAAACAGAATTAAAGGATAACATGAATCATTCCATGAACTTTTTGAAGTACCCTCATATATAGCCTTGTATGATAAGGAAATAATTATACCAGGAACCAGGAGACCTGGGAGCCCATCTTGTTCTTCAATGACTAATTGTGCACTCGTTTCACTTCTCTGGCATCTAACTGATTAAATTATAAAATAACATGTTTGGAACAGATGAACAATTTTCAAACATGGCTCATTAGGGGTTCAGTGTCACTGAGAGAAAATGAATAGACCTCTCCCTACAAACAAAGAAGCTCTGCTACCATTAGAAAGGATTGGCTGTCCCTAAACCCCATTTTTCCTTCTTAAAACCAATGAACTAGGTACCATCTAAATGACATTCCAGGTTTTAAAATTCATAAAGAACATGCAGGCTTCCCTTTGTTCCCAGCTCCACTTACACTGGAGTGTCCTGACCTCAGGAATAGGCTGTTTGTTGTTCCTTCCGAGCTCTAGTTAGCCCTGAGCAGTCTGGTGACTCCCTGACTGGAAACACCTTAAAAGCCAGTCAGCGAGCCCCAATAGAAAGGGGCACAGTGCTGTGGAGCTCACCAACCTCCCTATATAGCATCAAGGGCAGGTGGCAACTGGGAGCAACAGGAAGTATGTGGCCAAGTCTGAACTTAATCTGTATCTTCTGACTCTGAAATGGGCACTCCTCCCACTGCACCAAGCTGCCTCTCTGAGAGCTTGGATGAAAAGTCTGGGTAACCTGAGTAGCATGCCACCTGATAAAGGGCCCAAATCTGGGCAGCTGATGCTCAACTGGAAGGCACAGGGCACGTGGTATGGTAGGTGTTGCCAACAGTAGGGAGGAAGACACTCAAAACCTCCTCTCCGTGAGCTGGCATCATCAAATGGCTCCATGTATATCTTCCTAGGAATCATCCTCATCAAGTCAACGTTAATTACTCCTTAAGATAGCTGCTTTCATTATAATGTAAAAAAAAATCACAATATTGCACAATATTGAAAAACTGTACATGCATAGCATCCTCTGGTTGGCATGGATACCCCTTGGACTTGTCAAGACAGGATAATTATCCCCATTCACACATAATTACTCCAATAATTGTTTAATAATACATACTGTAAACCTTTAAATTCATTTGGAAGTATTAATAAATTATGACAATGCTTGTTTTAAGATTACTATAGATCTGGTAAGTGTACAAAAATTTAAGCCACAAATTAGAGCTAAAGAATAAAACCCCAAATTTTTACTGGTTGCACAGTTTGTGTTAAGCATAGTGGGGGAGGCAAAATGGCTTCCCTGAATTCACAAATTTAGAAGGGGACTAACAAAGGACACCTGTGACATAATACAGCCTAAAATGAACATGAAATCATACAACACATCTGCGTAGTTTAGAGGAGAAAAGATCAATAGGTCTGAGCTGGGCTTTGAAACAGAGAGAATGAAGGGGGCATGAGGCAAGCATAGCTTAGGTCTGAGCCCACTGATCAGGAGGAGTCTGGCCTGACTATGGCAGGAAACAAGAGGCAAGGGGAGGACTCCTAAGGCCAGGAAGAAGAGATCAGATTCAATGTGATGCAAAATGCAGTATAGCACTGAAATCTTCTGAAGGGGTGTCCCATGAAACAATAGTTTAAGAAAGGGAAAAGAATCAACCACTGCACAAATCTACAACAGAATGACTGGGAACCTACACAGCATAGAGACAAGAGAGACTCCAAAAGGAATTCAGTGAACAGTTGTCTGACCAGATAAGGGACACACAGAAGAGAAGTGACCAAAGAGGGAACCCGCTCTGAGTCTTGTGATGCTGCTGAGAAAATGAGAGAAGGTGAGAGAAAGGGACTGTCTGCAAGAGAACATGTTGAACTTGCAGCATTTTGTGGAGTTTAGGCAAGAGGACATTAAAGACAGAAAGGCACAGGGTCAGAGCCTAATACACAGGCAAGGATGTGCACCTGGGGGGCCCATGAACAGAAGGGCAGTGGAGCCAAACCCTAATGGGCGCTGACCACCAATTTTAAGGGAGGAGCAAAGAAGTCAGGTTCACTGCATTCTTCATCTGACTTGAGCCTCTTACCTCTCAGAGCCAGCTTCCACAAACAGAATGAGCTGCTCCTACAAGCCCAGCTCCTCAGGAAGCCTCCCCAGCACTCAGTGTCTGTGCCACTGCCTCACAACAGATCTCGTATTATTAGTTAGGTCAGTGTTGACTGTCTATCTGCTATTATTGGTTAGGTCTGTGTTGGTTGTCTACCTGGTATTATTAGTTAGGTCCATACTAATCGTCTATCTGGTATTATTAGGTATCAATTGGTTCTTTGTATATGTGGGTGTTGCACAGTAGCTGGGTAGAGAGGTGTATCTTGTTTCTCCAAAAAGAATGTAAAATTTGGGAGAACAGAGACAATTCATTTCTTGGACCCCTGCATTCTGTGCGAAGTAGGTCTAAAATAGATGTTGAATAAAGAAAGAGTTCTATATCCCTGTGAAATGTAGAGATCTATTTCCCATAGTTAAAAAAGCGAAAGCGAGTGTTATGGCTCAGAACTGGTATCAGTACTAGCAGTGGTCATGGCCAAGTTACTTAGACCCTGAGTTCCAATTTCCTAGTCCACAAAATCAGGGAAACAACATCTGCCTCCCTTGGCTGATGGGAAGATTAAACAAGGTGATGTCTTGTGAAAACGTAGGGCTCAAGGTAGACATTCAGTAAGGGTGAGTGTCAATGTTTTCTTCAATACACTTCAAGAAACTGGCACACAGGGAGCTATATGAATTGCTCAAGACTGCCAGACCTCTTAGTATGGTGGACATTAATTATTTAAAGTAACTGATTCCTTATATTGGTGTGAAATACAGTAGGAAAAGGAGTGCCCCTAGAACCCTAGGGCAGAGCTCAGCATAGTGCCCTGTAAATGGTCACAGAGTAAACAGCTCAGGCCTGCAGGCCAGGAGGGCTCCAGCGGGGTCCCTGCAGCCACGTCAGCACCTCTCCTGAGGAGAAGGTGGTGGATTTGACCACCTTTATACTGTGTCACTGTATGGCCATGGCACAGAGCAGAGTGAAACTTGGTGTGGAACATCCTTAAACAGGATCTCCAGGCTCAGGGAGCCCAGCAGGCAAGGAAAATGGAACTCAAAAGAGTCTAAACTACTTCCTATCACATTTTTTTTAAAGTCCAGACCTTAGGGAAGAAAATTAAGTTTAACTGTGATTACTTGTAACACCTAAAAAAGGGGAAAACTGTATGTAAAACAGCCAGCCAAACTAGAAAAATATTTGATCCATAAGCCTGTCCTATAGATGGATTCCTCCCTTAGAAACAACAACTGAGTCTCTGACAGTAGAGCATAATAGCCCGCCAGACAAACCCAGCCAC